AAACCCCAGCTCAAGTACAGGCTTAAATGTGTATTTTGGAGATCACGTGTAATATTCTTATTAGGATAAGTTCCTCCAAGAGAAATGCATCCATTGAAATGTACACACATTTAAATTGTTATGATATTTAGCAACAGTTCCTATAGTTTTTGCTTTGCTTTTTGGTTTGGTTTTGTCTTTCTTGGGACAGGGTCTCGCTGGCAGTTCGGGCTGCCTTTGAGCTCACTTTCTAGCCCACGCTGGTCTGTAACTCCCACGCAGCCGCACTCACCAACCACGGAGACTCTCCACCACAGCCCGGCAGCCGCGTCCTGACATCACCATCCAGTGGAGCGGCGCTGACTTCCCCAGTTCTCCCTGAGATCTTCAAAGTAGAGCTCCAGTCCTGACTTGTGTCTCCCAATCCTGCTGAACTCTGACTCTCCAAGGTGTCCTCATTCTCTCCTGCTGAAAACAGTGAGCAGAACGTTATTCTGCTGCTGTGCATCCCATCGTCGTTGTCCTCCTCCTCATGGTGTGGCCGTCCCTGTCACCTCCCTCTGATGCCTCAGCTGAACAACACCGACCTGCAGCACCGGTCGGGATTTTCCATGTGATTCTGAGTTTGATCCCACTCATGCATGGATATTGTTCTGACTGAGGTGAATTTTGCTTTTCTCACAGTTTTCCCTTCTGGTCATGCTGAGAGAGCCATTCTTTAATCCACACTTGTAAAACTGATCAGATATCCTCATCTACAATGAGATGATGGGAAGGGAAGAGTGAAGATGAAGAGTGTTATAACCTGACCAAAGCGCTGCCATCCTGTTCTGTATGCGCTGTCTTAGTGAACCATGTCAGCTGCTGTAAAATGTGACTTCTGTTTCTTAAGCCCACTCCCTTCAGGGTGTGTTATACCCCGACGTTAGTAACTCCATCTTGGCTCTCTGATTCACCCTTGCCCTAGTTGATTACAATGACTCCATCGTGGTCCTCTGATTCACCCCTGCCCTGGTTCTGAGAATGTCCTAAGGCAAAAACAGGTATTGGATTACATTGTCCTTATAAGGTCAGCATACCAAGATTGCACAGCCTGTTCTGTACTCCACCTAGTCCAAAAGGGGTAACTTCTCTGTGTCCAGCTTCCTCCAGGTGTGCTACAACCAATCCTGTAAAAGGTCATATGCTCCCTTGACCACAATGCCATCTGCTATTGGCTTCTGTAATCGGCTTGCTTGAATGGGTGGTCTTGCGGTTTTTGGGTTTAAATTACTGTGCCTCCCCTTACTCGGGGCTCCTCTCTGTCTCTTGGACTCTGAGGGTGCCACTGGGTACCAGCTATAATAAAGCGCTACCATCTTTTTGGACTTTTTGCTTCATTGTCTCCTTCTTGGGTTACAACAAAGAGGAGCTGGGAGGTGGCTCTGAGCTGTGGAGAAAATAAAGGTCAGAAAGGGAGGTGGGCGAGTTTTGCACCATCTGCTCCTGATTCCCATTACTATACCAAAACATGTGAGGAGAGGTGACTTAATAAAGGAAACAGGGTCTCCTATCTTGCAGTCCTGGGGTTCAGTGCCAGAGGGCCCCATCTGAGCTGTTATTCCTGCCGGGCGTCCTGAGTGACACACAGCATCACTGGGGGGCCACAGGCTCCACACTCGGCCTGTGAGTTCTGGGGTCTGCCTGTCTCTGTGCTTCTGTAGCCACCAGCTGTCAGGCATGGTGGCTCCACCCTGGTCACCTTACCTAGCCCTGGAGCTCCAGAAGTCTCCCCTCTAACCTTCATAATCAAACAGTTAACACCCCCTCAGTTAACACCTCCCAATAGGGACAGAAATTTAACTCCTGGACCCTTAAGGAACACACTGAAACCCTACATTCAATCCACAGCATGTTCTAAGGTGCAGTTACAAGGCTTAAAACCTTCCCTCACAATTTTAGAACAATTTCTGCAAGATTTACATGATATTCTATATGTGTTATCCTCAGCATATATTTGCTCTGTAGTAAATGTACAGTTATGGGCCTCATGTCATATTTACCAGGTTAAGAACCTGAAATGCCCAGAGTGACACAGAAATACAGACAATAGCTAACTCAGGTAATCAGGGCCTGGGATTTGGTTTGTTTGTTTGCTTGAATTTATGTATCTGGTACAGGGTCCCCCTAAGCAGCTGAGATTCGTGGTGGTCCTCCTGTTTCAGCCTCCCCAGCGCTGGGATTACAGGTGCTGAGGAGGCTGAAAAAAGGCCCAGGGCTGGAGATTTGGCTCAGCAGCACAAGCGTCTTCCTAGAAAGCACAGGGTCCTGAGTTTGATTCTCGAAAAAAAAAAAAAAAAAAAAAGGTAGGTATGGAACTGGATGGGAAGTATGAGCAGGTTTCTTGGGGATTCGATTCTGCCAAGAATGTAACAACATGCTTTGCCCTAAAGATGACGAGGAGAACCGTATTCTGCTGTATGCGTGCTGAAATTATAATTGCCCGCAGAAAGCCGACAACACCTGCATCTATGTCAACAAAATCACTCACGAAGTGGACGAACTAACCCAGATAATCGCTGATGTGTCCCAAGACCCCACGTTGCCACGGACCGAGGACCACCCGTGCCAGAAATGTGGCCACAAGGAGGCAGTGTTCTTCCAGTCACACAGTGCCCGTGCAGAGGGTGCCATGTGCTTGTACTGTGCAAGGACCGCCCCACACTGCGGCCACCGCTGGACTGAGTGTCCTGGCCCTCTTCCCACCTGTAATAAATACCTAGTACTGTGAAAAAAAAATTCTGAATCGATGATAGGTAATTTTTAATATTTTATGAGCGTTTGTTGACAAACCATGTTTTGATTCATCTGTATACTCTAATTAGTAAAATATACATATACATTCACCTTTCTTAGGGTTTCCAGTTTTAATGATTTGTCTAATAACCACATAGAAAAACCAGGTTTACATGTGCAAATCACGTTGATGTACTGAAATATTTGAGTCCCAGTGTAACTTTCGGGCATAACACAATAAAACTAAGCATACACTGGGCCGGGGAGATGGCTCAGTGGAATAAGTGCTTCTCTGGCAAGTGCAGGGGCCTGAGTTCAATCCCCGGTTCCACAAAAAAAAAAAAAAAAAAAAAAAAAACTAAGCATACACTAAATCTGGGGTCTCAAAAATGGTAGCTATTAGCTACGTATGATTACTTACACTTAAATTTATTGCAGTAATCGTCAACTCTTAGGGTACCTGCCACCGTCCTCGTCCCAGGGCGTGACCACGCGAGTCTGAGGCCAGGACTGTGCCCAGCTCAGACTCCTGCGGTTTCTTTCTTTCTTTTTTTTTTTTTTTTTTTCAGGGAACGGGGGATTCGACCCAGGCCCTAGGCAAGAGTTTATTCTACTGAGCCATCTTCCCCGCCTTCCTGCGGTTTCACTTCACCTTCTGTCATCCTGTGCCGGGTCCTTCCGCCTGGACACTGGTGACGCG